AAACAGCTCAACCTCAGCTGGAGTGCTGGTCCTTGCGCTGGAGCTTGACCCGACAAGTCGAGCAGCGACGACGTCCGACGCCGGATGGCGAAGGGGAACTCGGACGAGCATCAGAAGACATCTTTTCCTCAGGTAAGTTGAACGGTAGATCTCAATCGGCGCCAGAGTGAAAGAGGGGGTACGGCCTTGTGCAGGGGCATTTATAGAGGAAGGTGGCTGGTGATTGGAGCAAATTATTTTGATCTCTCTGGCGCGTGACCTGGGGGTCACGAGTGATATCCCACTAGCGAAGTCCTAAGGGACGTAGCACCATGACGTAGAACCAACAGCTTTCATAAAGATCAGATTTTGTGGGGATTTTAGTGTCCCTTGTCAACCTGAACTTTTTTTCTTCTTAAATCCTTCGGTTTTATTTAAATCCACACTTTAGTCCCACAAACTCTGCTCGTCTGGCTCTCGCTCTAACTCCCGCTCTGATGAACTGCTCTGATTGGTCAGAGCGCGGCCGAGCCCCTCTGTGCACGTGCGTGAGACCCGTGTGAGACCCACGTGTGAGACCCCAACACATCATGGGAGTTCATCCACTGCGCAGAACCGGGAGGACCACACAATGCCCAAATACAGGCGAGTTTCCCATGGATCTTTGCGAGTTCCAGGCGACTTCCGCTAATCTTTCAGCCCCCATGCCGTCACAAAGCGCCACTGAGCACAACCATTCATTTGAATAGGGCGTCATCTTTGATCGCCCGGGCTTGCCTCTACCGCGCTGCTAAACACAGTAGCATGTTAGCAGAATTGGCTATAACTCCTCTGGCTGTAACTGCATACACAGCAAAACAGCCCAAACAACACAACAGTGAGGAAGAGAAGAGGGAACTAAAGTGAAAAAATGATTGAAGAAGAAATCAAGCCCAGGTTTACACAGCTAGCTTACATCCTATCCTCTGGAGAGATTACAGTCCATGGGAGAGAACTGCGGGAGCGAGACCGCCTCGGACTACATTTGGATGCAAAACTAGCGGCAATCTTTCAGTTATATATTTTGTTAGCAGTTTGTTGCTTTTGTACAATTTCATCAGTGATTTTTGTACAGCTTGCACGAAGTTGCGCTCATGCTAATGTTTGCATATGTATCAGATCGCAAATAAACCTAGAGGGCTCCGTGGAATGAGAGCGTAGGGGAAATGAGAAGCCTGTGAGCAGGTTGAGGGCAGTGCTAAACATTCAAACCTTGCAGAAACGGATATAGCTCCTTTAAGTTTGACCGGTGTAGGCTGTGGAGTTTTGGATTGTAAATACACAGCATAAATTACCTTGTGGTTGTACAGGAGGTGGCTCTGGAGATTTGGCGTGTTTCCCTTTGACGTGATGACTATTTTTCGGCATGACTTGCATATAACTTGTTTCTGTGATGGTTTGGTCGTGTAAAACCAAAGTAGTCCCAAGTTCCTCTCTGCGTTTGTCTCTTCATCCTCCGCTTGTTTTGTTTCTCCGCGCACTCCCTGGTTTTCAGTGAAGTTTTTCACCTCCAACATGCAAAGTGAAGTTATAGGCAGTAAGGGAGTGAAGAAAGGCTTGATATGGAGAGCTTGAAGAGAGGAGATGGGACTGGAAGAGATTGGACAGTAATAGGTTGTAATGGAGCTGGAGAGGGGAAGCTGAAGAGGAGGGGGCGCACACAGATGGACAGATGAGGAAGAGGACGAGAGGCGCGGGGGTAGGTCACCCAGCCTGCACTAATTGCCTCTCACAAGACGATTCGGCCACACGGGTCTGCTTTCAGAATTGGATCTCTGTTATTTGCCTTGTTCTGGCAAGTTTACAAAGCCATAGAGAGAAGACATAACATGATTAGATGTCACTAGTTTTGTGTTTAGTTTTAAATTGGAACATTTTGATTGTTGTCATAAAACCTTTAAATATCAAAAATTATAATTAAAAGTATGTACTATATTCTAAATTATTGTCAAGTAAATTTTTTTAATTCAAGATAATACGACAAGGAGATAGTGAGCGACCATGCTCCTAAGTGGACTTGTTTCATAGATCCAGATGTTAATAATGTTATGACAATAGTTATTCTAGTTTATCCACAGTTACAGGATTTTTTCATTTAATGCACTTATTTATGGCTTTGGAGAAATTTAATATTGGCTCTTTATGTATTGTCGTGTTTCCCAAAATGGGGTTTGGGGCCCCGTGTGGGTCCTCAATAGCCTCATGAGGTTGCCAACACGACAAGCGTTGAGAAACAAATCAAATCAGAAAACATTTTGACAAGGTACTACATCTCACATCTACATGTTTGATATTTTAGTTTATATTGCACAAAGAAAACATTACACCATCATCTAAAAGGAGTGTGATTTTATTTTTAATTTTTTTTTAGACTGAGGTTCCCACGGAATGTATGTTTTATCAGGCGGGGCTCTGTGTTGGAGAATTTGGCCACTGTTTCACATAATTTGTAATCAGGGCCGTTGTCTCTGGTCAGAGTCTGGTCTGCCTCCGCTCAGTAGACCAGACTCTGATTGTCATTGCTTGGACTGAGGAATCAGAGATTTCTCTATTGTACGTCCAAGGTTGCCTGTTCAACATTCGTCTGATTCGCTTACTTACTGTATTAAAACCGTGGATTTTAACAAGCTGCTGTTTTTGTTTTCTGCTGTTTGATTCACTGTTTGATCTGATATAATTTATTGTAACATGTGTGCAATATTTTTGGAGGGACTTGGTTTATGTGCTTTATACCTTTGGATTGGATATTGTTGTTCATTATCTACTCCTTACCAGTGTAACAGTAGAGGAGTTTAAATGCAAACCAGACTTGTTGCTATTGATTGATTGCTTTCAGAATCTCTTTTTCCGGGGAGTCCTGGCCCGAGAGTGAGGGGAGCTTTTGTACCTGTTTTTAGTGGTAGGGGAAACCGGAGCACCCGGAGGAAACCTAACAGTAAACTCTTGACACTTGCCCTAAATCACTGATCAATGAGTTTTTTATGTGCACATTGGGCTTATTCTGATTTTGGGCAATATAGAATTTAATTGAATTCAAAAGGTAAATGTCTTCAGTGCCAATATGGCACAGAACACAGGAGTATTGCTTTTCCAAATCAGACTATCCAAAATGTACAAGAAAGTCTTTCTCTCCTTTCCACTCCACGGCGCACACTCTGTTTCGTCTAGACAAGGGCTGCAGAACACGCTGTTCTTGTTTAGGGAGGAAGAGGAGAAAATGTGCCGTGTCACTGGGTCGCTGGCTGCACACATCCAAGAGAGACACGAGGAACAAGGACTAAAGTGAGGTGTGCTCTGTGCTGAGAGGGGCCGAGTTCAAGGAGTAGTGCTGTGTCATTATGGTCCTCCATTCTATGTGCTCTTGTGTGGTTTATTATTATTCAAAATCTCACACAATGAATTTCCTGTGATTTATGTATGCAACAATTTGAGCAATTTGTTTTATTCTAACAACAAGGCTCCGCTGGTCTAATTTCACTGGAAGAGAATACACGACCACTGCTTTCCACCAACTTTAGCAGCATTACACTGCAAAAAAGGATAAGTTATTAGTTAGATAAGTTATGAGTAATAATTACTTAAATCAAGTGTTTTTTATCTGAATTAGAAAACTTTCTGACTGTCTTAAAACAAGATTTGCCAATGCGACAAAGCCATTTAGTCTTACGTCATCACCGCCTGTGGAATGATTGGAACAATATCTGAACTCTGAACATTGTAAAGCGCTTTGGGTGACCTTGGTCTGTAAAATGCGCTATATAAGTAAACATTACTTACTTACTTATTTCATTTATTCCACATTCCAAGGGAGACATTTCATGTATCTTTTCAAAATACTCATTTTGCTTGTCCCATTGGCAAATCTTGTTTTAAGGCTGTCAACATGTGCTTGAATTAAGAAATATTTTGCCTAATTTGAGCAATTTTTGACTTATTTATCATCACTTTTTGCAAAAAATTGGGGAAAATGTGTTTGAATATGTGCCTGGACTGGAATATACTGGAGCCATAGAACTGACAAGACCAACTTTCTTGTAATTATACAAAGCTATGGAAAGGCATGAATATTCAATAGTGAGTTTGGGTTTTAGTTGTTTCCGTTTCTCCAGCAGAGAAAATAAAGAAAAAAGAAGTCTGCAGGACTGTGGAGAATGTGCTGGAGACTTGATTACAGTGTCTGATTAGAAGCATGTAATCACATTAAGTAATGAGTTTGGCTTGAGAGAGAGTCTGATTTGTGATTTGTTGCTATGGTGAAAATGGGCTGGATACTTCCTTTGCAAATCATCCAAAACTTTTCAACCCCACGTTCAGTACTTTGAAAAAGGCTTTAAATAGTTTGTGACAAAAACAATCCAAGTATAGCATCACCTTCTGTACAGATCTGGCAAAACTGTTCCATTTGTTTTTAAGCAAGATGGCAGAAATCATTTTCTATAAAACTAAGAAGAAGAGTTTTGGGAGAACTCATAGATGACAAATTCAATCAGAAGTATGTTTCATCTCAAGACCTTTGGCCTTGCACAAAAATCCGGTCCTTTGGTGCCTGTAACAAATGGCATTTGAATTGATTGCATTAAAGTAGTGAGAAAAAATAAACGTTTTCCCACACATTGTATTTTGTATGTATATTAAGCAGAATTACTGCTCTGTGTAATCTGGTCGTTATTCTCTGGTGCTGGTACAGATAACCTGAGCCGGGGATTACATGCAGAGTATGAATAACGTATTGGGCTCTGGTGTTCTATAGACTCTGAAGACCGATTGGGATTTTATAAAAGAAATATTTGAGTTATGAGCATAAACAGCTGCGATAAAATAATGTATCTATAAATCTATTATAGCGTGATGCCGAGCCTTCCGTAGGATTCTCACAGAAACGAGTCATAAAACAGGAGGAGGTCAGGGATTTTGACAAAAGTCTCATGCATCACCATCAGTATGTTTAGGACTGGAAGCAAGGGCAGAGCTCAGACTGAAACATGCGGCTGGGGCCCCATAAGGGCGGTAAAGAAAATACTTCCACTGACTTTGGTGTCCCATCATATATCTCGCTCCATGGTTCTGGTTCTACACTCGACGGCGCTCTTATGCACGTAATCACAAACTTTAGTCAACTCTGAAGGGTGGCTCTGCACTAATAATAACATTATTCTGCTCTAACAGTGTGAGTAGCTGCTAAATGAGACGTTATTCCACAGCACATAACAATAGAATACAATATTGTTTTAAACATATGCAGCTGTTTATTGTTTCTTTGGTTGTTAATAAACACATCACTCCGGATTGTAGCCTTGGACTAGTTTCCAACCGTTGCCCCACAGTCGCTCTCATTCACCCCAAAATATTGTACACATTTTTTGTGGTTGGGAAAACCAGAGCAGCGTACGCATTCTAATTGACAAAAACCACACCGTAAACCCTAACGTTCTTTAAAGCTAAATGTACTAAACTTGTTAAATCACTGCCTGCATCGCACATTACATTCATATTTTTAGTACAGCAGACATTTTACACCATCTTGTTTTTTACACTATGTTTTTTTCAGTTAAAGGAGCTACAGTATACCCGTTTCTGCAAGGTTTGAATGTTTAGCACCGCCTTCCAACTCGCTCACAGGCTTGTCATTTCCCCTACGCTCTCATCCCACGGAGCCACCTAGTTTTATTTGCGATCTGATACGTATGCTTACATTACTTCTTGTAAGCTGTACAACAATCACTGATGAAAAGGTACAAAATAACAAAATATATAACTGAACGATTACCGCTAGTTTCCTGTCCGAATGTAGTCCGAGCATAGATAGTCCGAGGCGGCCCCGCTCCCGCATGTCTCTCCCATGGACTGTAATCTCTCCAGAAGATACGATGTAAGCTAGCTATGTTCACCCGGGCTTGATTTCTTCGTTGATAATTTTTTTCCTTGAGTTCTGTTGTGTCGTTTGGGCTGTTTTGCTGTGTATGCAGTTACAGCCAGAGGAGTTATAGCCAGTTCTGCTAACAAGCTACTGTGTTTAGCAGCGCTGTAGAGGTTAGAGGACGCAGCCTCCTTCTGTGATTAGAGGAGAACGAGCGTCACACCAAGTCTCTACTCAGTACTTTTTACGGCCAGAATTCATACACAAGCTGAATCAGTGAGCTCAAGTTTAGATTAGTTCTACACGGCCATCATCGAGTCCATCCTCACCTCCTCCATCACCGTGTGGTTCTCTGGAGCCACAGTCAGGGACAAACAGAGACTACAGCGCATTGTGCGCTCTGCAGAGGAAGTGATCGGCCGCAGCCTTCCATCGCTGCAGGACCTGTACGTCGCCCAAGCTCGAGGCCGGGCTGGTCGTATCACAGCCGACCCCTCTCACCCTGCACATGGACTATTCCAACCACTCCCCTCAGGCAGGAGACTGCGGTCCATCAGGACTAGAACCTCCCGCCACAAGAACAGTTTCTTCCCCTCTGCTGTTGGACTCTTGAACACTTCTTAACCTGTCCCCCCGCCCTTTATAAAGTCACTTTACTGCCCATCATACGTCACTTTACTTCACTGTACTGCTGTCACCTTACATTGTGTGCACCATGTGCACTTGTATATTGTAAATAGTAACTGTAACTCTATTTTAAATTTAAATTTATTCCTTAGAAGTGTTTTTTATTCTTTATTTTTATTCTTTATTTTTATTATCTCTTTCTGACTGTGGCACTGAGCCAAAGCAATTTCCAAGTCTGTGACTTCCTGTTACTTACGTGGCAATACAAATGATTCTGATTCTGATTCTGAGATTATAATACAATTTGTATGTAGTAAAAAGCCTTTTTTATAAACTCATTATTTTAAAAAAATTGGGTATAGCTTCTTTAAGTCAACATAAATGCACCGCCATCCTGCTGCTATCCCCCATTTTGCAGTCCAGAAACCAGAGTCAACATTGTGAAGAAACAATCATCAAGAAGTAGTAATGGGCAAATGAAGCCCCGTAACATACTGAAGCTTTCCTTGCTGGATTGTTTTGTGTCGAAACCTTGTGAAACTTTTTACACTGACATCTATTGAACAAATGTAACCATTACAACTTCTGAAGAGAAAAAAAACCCAAGCAGTTGTTTAATTGGTCCACCATTATTAAAACTCTTTTAATTTCAAACCGCTTCATCTTCTCACATAACTATGACAAGAGAACCATCCTACTGCTGCAATACAAAGGCAGTAAGGTTCAAGGGGGCGAAAGTATTTGGCCCCCTTGAACCTTTCAACACTTCAGGCATTTCAGGCTTCAAACATAAAGATATAAAAAAAAAATGTCAAGAATCAACAACAAGTGGGACACAATCGTGAAGTGGAACAAAATTTATTGGATCATTTAAACTTTTTTAACAAATAAAAAACTGAAAAGTGGGGCGTGCAATATTATTCGGCCCCCTTGCGCTAATACTTTGTAGCGCCACCTTTTGCTGCAATTACAGCTGCAAGTCGCTTGGGATATGTCTCTATCAGTTTTGCACATCGAGAGACTGGAGTTCTTGCCCATTCTTCCTTGCAAAACAGCTCGAGCTCAGTGAGGTTGGATGGAGAGCGTTTGTGAACAGCAGTCTTCAGCTCTTTCCACAGATTCTCGATTGGATTCAGGTCTGGACTTTGACTTGGCCATTCTAACAGCTGGATACGTCTATTTGTGAACCATTCCATTGTAGATTTGGCTTTATGTTTTGGATCATTGTCCTGTTGGAAGATAAATCTCCGTCCCAGTCTCAGGTCTTTTGCAGACTCCAACAGGTTTTCTTCCAGAATGGTCCTGTATTTGGCTCCATCCATCTTCCCATCAATTTTATCCATCTTCCCTGTCCCTGCTGAAGAAAAGCAGGCCCAAACCATGATGCTGCCACCACCATGTTTGACAGTGGGGATGGTGTGTTCAGGGTGATGAGCTGTGTTGCTTTTACGCCAAACATATCGTTTTGCATTGTGGCCAAAAAGTTTGATTTTGGTTTCATCTGACCAGAGCACCTTCTTCCACATGTTTGTTGTGTCTCCCAGGTGGCTTGTGGCAAACTTTAAACGAGACCTTTTATGGATATCTTTGAGAAATGGCTTTCTTCTTGCCACTCTTCCATAAAGGCCAGATTTGTGCAGTGCACGACTGATTGTTGTCCTATGGACAGACTCTCCCACCTGAGCTGGAGTTATCTGCAGTTCATCCAGAGTGATCATGGGCCTCTTGGCTGCATCTCTGATCCGTCTTCTCCTTGTTTGAGATGAAAGTTTGGAGGGACGGCCGGGTCTTGGTAGATTTGCAGTGGTCTGATACTCCTTCCATTTCAATATAATTGCTTGCACAGTGCTCCTTGAGATGTTTAAAGCTTGGGAAATCTTTTTGTATCCAAATCCGGCTTTAAACTTCTCCACAACATTATCTCGGACCTGCCTGCGTGTTCCTTTGTCTTCATGGTTCTCTCTGCGCTTTAAACAGAACCCTGAGACTATCAAAGAGCAGGTGCATTTATACGGAGACTTGATTACACACAAGTGCATTCTATTTATCATCATCAGTCATTTAGGACAACATTGGATCATTCAAAGATCCTCACTGAACTTCTGGAGTGAGTTTGCTGCACTGAAAGTAAAGGGGCCGAATAATATTGCACGCCCCACTTTTCAGTTTTTTATTTGTTAAAAAAGTTTAAATTGTCATATACATTTCGTTCCACTTCACGATTGTGTCCCACTTGTTGTTGATTCGTGACAAAAAATTTAAATTTTATATCTTTATGTTTTGAAGCCTGAAATGTGGCAAAATGTTGAAAGGTTTAAGGGGGCCGAATACTTTCGCAAGGCACTGTATCTGTTTTCCACTTGCAGACGCCATCAAAGCCGCCAAAATCACCAACACTATACAACACTCAACATTGTTTAGAAATATTGCTGCATCGATTGCACTGCGCCTATGCATTGAAGCGTCGAAACGCTCTGAACCAATGAGAAGCCGGGGAACTCATAGAGCCACTAAGAAACTCGGACGCTACCCAGAATGCACTGCAGAACAGACAATAAACGATCCTTTTGAAAAAAATCAATATTCAAGCATTCATTTTGAGAGTGAATATAAAGCAAGTCTGCCTAATGTAAAATACTATAACAACATTTTGAATAAACTCAATAGATCAAATGAATTTGCCTTTTTACTTATTTTCACCGACTTTAATTGAGAAGGCCAAGCCAGAGTGATAAATAGGTCAATCATGTTTATTGTTTTAATACCAGGTGAGGGTCAAATACACTGGATTACATGCAGTATAATCTATAGCATTTTGCATTTTGATCTTGCACACAAAGTAGTTCTAACATACCAAAGCGGTTCGTAGTAGCTACAAACTAGGATTATTTCTAGTCTCAAATGCAGTTAATTTATAGTTTTACGTTCATTTAACTTGCAAAAATAAATGATTTAGAGCACTTAGTTACCTCAAAACTTAGGGTGATAGGTTCATTCAACTTATTTGGGTTTACAGTGTAACATTATAGGTCACTGTGGGTGATAAAACCAATGTTGTGGCGGCCTTCCCCTTTAATCTGGTAATACAAATAAAAACATATGAGACACAATCCAGCATGTACTGTTAACTCTTTTACCAAAACTGAACCGGTATTAGTTTTTGGTGTTTTTTGTTGATGAAAGAAATTAGGCATTAAACTATTGAACTAACAAACCAACACAAACAAGGCACCAGATATACTGTATGTGAGTGATGCTATCAGACTGGTGTAAATGTGTCTGGAGAAGAGTGTTTTAGTGAAAGCCCAGATCATCATTGTTTAATCCTTATTTACTGTATCTCATCTTGTTTTGGCTTCCTGACCTATTACCTTCAGCAGAGGTGGGCTTAATGCCCTTTGCTGTCATTAGTATTTAAAACTCTATCTAAAATCAGTGTACCAGGACCTGTCTACGTGGAAACATTCATTGTTTTAGCTTGAAAATGTGCGAGATTCAATAAAAAAACAGATTTCAATTAACATCTTGAATCTTAGAACTGAGGAACATTACTTGTATTTTAATTTATTTTTTGAAAGGGATTAAAAAATATATTCGTCTAAAGATGAGGATCTACTTTTGAGTGCCTTGACCAGAGGAACACAAGGTCGCAAGTTATGTGGGACAAAACACCGAGCATGTTAAAAACCGACAAAAGGAAGGCGCATCAAATCCATTTATGAAATAGCTATTTCACTCTTCACTCGCACGGTTTCATCAAAGCTTTAACATCTTTCAAGGAGACAAAATCATGGCTGTGTTTTGAAGGTTTTTCAAAAAGAGTGAAATAATAAAAAAGACAAGAAGTTCAGAAGTTCAGAGCAAACTTTGAGCCCACTGCTGTCCTCTGGTTTGATTTCTATATTCTGAAATAACAGGTTTAATTATGATAAAATACCTTGAGTTACTTCTGTTTTTTTATTGTAAGTCTGCATGCAGTAAATGTCTGATCTTGTAACATTCTGTGTGTGAAATGCCTGTTTGAATTTGGCATCACACTTATCTCCTGTCATTGTGTACCTCAATGTACTTTGGGTATTCTGTAGGGGTGGGAACCTAAGGGTACCTCACGTTACGATACGATACGCAATACAAAGCTCACAATAACGATTATATCACGATATGACGATTATCGATATATTGGTCAGCAATATATTATGCCAATATATGACATAGATAAAATAGAAAAATGTTACGTGAAAGAATATACTTTATTTCATGATAAATGGAATGGAGATGTGTAATGTAGCCATATATTAAGTATTGATACTAATTTTAATAAATATATATATATATTTTTTTTTTTTGGGGCGACAGTAGCTCAGTTGGTAGAGCATTAGCCTTAAGGCCAGAAGGTCGTGGGTTCAATTCCCACCTCTGCACCTTCTCCATCGACTCCCACTGATGACTGCTGTCGTTGTGTCCTTGGGCAAGACACTTAACCCCACTTTGCCCAAAAGCCTCCACTGAAAGATCAAGGCTATGCTCACACTCAGAGAGCAGCCGTCCTCCTGTGGACTCACCACCTGCAGAGGGTCAGTGAGGGGCTGGTGCTATGAGACTTGGGTGGCATCTCTGACTGCCACCCCCCTGACCCAGAAATGGATTAAAGGGTAGAAAATGGATGGATGGATGGATTTTTTTTTTTCAAAATTGATAATTGGAAAATGCATATCGATAATCGATCATGGGGGGAAGTATCGTGACATATTGAAAAATCGATATATCGTCACACTCTTAGTATTCTGCTACTTTTCAACACTGTCTTATTACAAAGCCATACAAATCAAATTTCTTGTAATGTTTTAAAGCTGAGAGAATGGCTACCAGTGTTGATGTTTGTCCCTTTATCCTTATCCCAAATTTGTTCAGTTTTCATCCCCCTTACAAATTAAAAGAAATGTTGGCCCCCCCCCCCCCCCCCCCCCCCACCCCCACCCCAATCAACTCAAACTCAGGTTTCTGTAAATGAACTTTTGAACAACAAGTGTTACCTGTACACTCTCTTCTATCCATGTTTGATACACAGCTGTTATGTGATGGCCTCAGAGCTATGTTTAGAGTATATAGGTCACTAAACATCATGAAGTCCAAAGAGCACATCAGACAGGTCATGTAGAAAGTTGTACAGAAGACTTTCCAAGTTTTGAACATCTCACAGAGCACAGATCAATCCATTATGCAGAAATAGAAAGAGTATGGCACCTCTGCAACCTTACTAAGATTCAGCGTCTTGGTCTAAACTCACAAAGCTCCCTGTGCTCCCTGATGCCTCTAGACTAGAAGCTGACCATATCTGCAGCTGGAGGAATCTGTACACATTAGTCATACACTTAATCTGGCCTAAGTCTATCTTATTCATGGACGAGCGGCAAGAAGAAAGCCATCGTTAAAAGGGAGTCAAAAGAAATCCTGTTTTGCATTTTTGTATTTATTCATTTATTTCAAGCTTATAAATGGGAATCAATGAATGTAATTTACAGTTTTTACATATTATACTTGATGCAAACATACATTTATGCACATGAGTTGTTTATACATTTAAGGGTTTCTTTAGTTGAAAAGTCAAATGTTCAAAAGCTCCCACCTTTAAACTCATCTTATGCAGTTGCTTTCATTTTTTTTTTTTTAATGTATTTTTGCAATCAAGAACATAACATCATAATAAACATATTACCACTTGTATTATTATTATCATTATTGTTGTTATTATGATTATCATTATTGTTGTTATTATGATTATCATCATAATTGGTACCAATGCACACCAGTAAGTTCAGCCCTGCCATATCTCACCAGATGCCAGAAGTCATATAGTCATATACTGTAGTGGACACAGCCAACATGTGGAAAACAATTTTTTTGGCCCACATTCCAAATGTTATATCCGTCTCTATGATGGTGGGGGAGCATCATGCCAGGGGACAGGGAAGCTTGTAAACATTGATGGAAAGATGGATGGATCCAGAGATCTGTACCTCGCAACAGGACATTGAACCAGAACATAAAGAAGCTACAATCAAAGTTTGGAAGTCAAATTCCACAAAATCCATTGGGATATTTTGTGGAAAGATCTGAGACATGTTTTCACAAACACTCCCAATTTAATTTTAAAGAACTTGAGTTGTTTTGTAAGATGCCTCTTCAATTCAATTGCATTTTCACATAATGTAAAAGCTGAAACCTGAAATCCAAGAATAGGAACTTAATAGTAACTTAAAATGTCCACATATATAATTGCTGCTGTGCTTCTCTTTTGCAGAGTGCAAGTTCCAGTGCACCAACGGGAAGTGTCTGCGTCTGGGCTCTCTGATCTGTAACAAGCTGAATAACTGTGGAGACAACAGCGATGAGGAGAACTGTCCCGTGGTGACGCAGCACCCTCCCCCAGGCATCTTCAACTGTGAGTGCACCACCTTCACTCTGCTCTTACATATCTGCAATGTGGTTGAGATACTGAAACGTTTAAATGCTATTGGTGGAGAGCTTATTTATTGTTTATTTGGTTAATGAACACATCACTCCGGATTGTAGCCATGGGCTAATTTGCATCCGTTGTCCCACATTCGCACTCACAAACACACACTTATTCATTCACCCTGAACTATTGCACATGGTTTTAGTGGTAAGGGAAACTGGAGTACCCGGAGGAAACCTACGCAGACATGGGGAGAACATGAAAACCTGCATGCACTTTTTATGAATCCTTGAATTGTGCCGTTGAAACTTCTTACATGCCACATGAGTTTGTGTGCTCATGCAGGACTGTTGTCTGTGGATGAATAAATCATGGTGTTTTGTAGGACAGAAGTATATGATGTCAGTATATACAACTAAAAGAATAAACTTGTTGAATAAGCCATAACATCATTCTGGTTAGTTTCCTCTGCCTGGGGTTATGCAATCACCAGAGTCATTTGTGTGATGCTGCCAGCCCCACAATATGGCTTCACAATATGAATAAAAAAATGTAAACAAATAAAAACATTTCCCTGACAAAGGCCCACGGTAGACACGTTGCTTATCTGTGAATAAAGCACTTGGTGTGGTGCAGTGTGCAGGAGATTTCTTCTTTCACATAATTGGCTAAGCTCTGCATTTGCCACATGTTTTTATTGTAGTTTACCATTATTTTTGCAGTTAAATAGGAGTTATGATAAATTAAAGTGAAGCTCAGTTAATGTTCAGATGAAGAGACTTTTTTAAAATGCAAGCGCCAGTTAGACCCGCCCCCACAGGTTCCTGATTGGACACAATTAATTCAAATCTTTGATAGCTTGCTGAAGCCCCTCCCCATTAGTCTACCTATTCTCCTCCAGCAAATGTTACAGGTGATGGTAATGCCAAGAGAAGGTTCTGTTTTAAATACATTTATTATAAAAAATACTGAATCTAGTAATTTAATATTTAATTGCAGACAGACTTTCTCAATACTTGTAAATATCCACAATTGTGGTCCTGCGCTCTAACAAAGAACCCACTTATTGAAATTTCATGAAATATTAATTCATTCTAATCTAACTAAGTTCCTTGTCTGGGGGCCAATGTAGTTGCTGCTGCACTCGACAAGATCCTGTGTGAGTTTGGGGCCAATTAGCTGTCAGCTCATGATACATGGTTATTGAGTGCTGTGACTGACAGCTCCCACACCTGCTGCCAGCTCCACACACACCTTTGCTACTTCTCGCTGACACTTCACAGTCATTATGGTGAAGGTGGACCGCTGCATGGGCCGTCACTGTGGTTTAGGGCTTTCCAAAACCAGACTGTCTCAATATGTTCCACTAATGCTTCATGACGTTCACGACAGCCCATTGGTTTCTGAATTCATTTTTTTCTGATTCTGTCATTCCTGAATGAGTAACCCTAATTAAACACTTGGATTTTTATTGGAATGGCACTATGTTTTGATTAACTTAAATCATGGACTTTGTGATCCAACAGAAATTATTATGTGAAAAATTATTCATTAAAACAAGAATTACATATGTTTGCATGTCTTTGTTTGCATACTTTAACTAGTTATATATGTTACAACAGCATAATCATCCAACAATAATATATTATGATGAAGTAACCTTTCACAAACAAATGAATCCATTATTAAACACAAAAAAAACCTCTTGTCGTTCCTTGCAGTTTGAGCTGTGGGCTAAAACTGCAGGTGTGGGCTTCTTCCACATTCCCAGACTGTGCACATATCACCTGTCTCTGTTTGTGGAATGGAAAAAAACTAGTTCCGAAGTATAAAGAGGCAGAAAATCTTATTGTTAATGATTCCATCAGCCCAGCCACCCTCAAATGCAGCTGGATTCTTTCTCTGTCTATTTTCTGGTGCTGACCCAAGCTGAGTTGCTGGACCGCTGTTAATTCAATTACATTTATTTTTTGTATAGCCCTAAATCACAACAGCAGGCATCTTGGAGGACTTTACAAAGATCAGATCAGATTATTAAATGCAATTACTGTATAACAAACACATAGGAGACATTGGTCCATTGGGAGCTGTATGACCAATGTTCCTAAATGTTAGTAAACGTCCAGCCCACAACCCTGGAGAGACCAGTCTACAGGTGCAGACACTTTTCCACTCTGTCTGTGTGTGTCTTTGTCCAGTCTTGTCTTATTCCAAGTCCAGTTCCAGGCTCTATAGGTTCCCCCCGTCCTCAGTGTGTGCCTCAGTGTGGAATGGAGCCTTGAGTGGGGTCAATAGCCTTGAGTCAGGTAATATAATCATTCCACCAGAGCTATCACTGAAAAAGTTTTCTTCTTTTACTTCTACTTTTAATTGTAACTAGAACATTTCTCTATTTGAGTAGAAGTCTCATAAATCATGCTTCTTGCATACCTTCTTACATTGTTTGATGAGTTTCCTCAATTTTTGAATGAACATGATATTATATAAGGGACTCATTTGAATGTTCAGTTATAGTATGATTGGTCGGGTATTTCTGCTTTTCATCCTTTGCTGCTCCCTGCCCCCTTAACCCGCTCTGCAATGCACTGACCAGACCCAGCTTTCTTCTTTTTCTTTAGAGATTTTTTTTGTTCAAGTTGGTGCATGGCGGGAGGGGTGGCACGGTGGGCTACTCGTTTCTAATCCTGAGCTGGTACTTAAAATATTTAGCTGTCTCGAGCGAATGTTAATGTAAGTGTACGCGGCCCGTGTGAAGGGGAAGTGCACAATGAATTTTCTGAACCGCTGCATATTTTGTGAGACAGGCATGGGGTAGAGGAGATGAAAGGAAATCGCCAAAAAAGACTGGCAGGGCGAAGGAAAGATGGGGAGATATGAGAGAGCAGTAAGGAGAGAGAGAGTGAAATGTTTGTGTGGTAATGGAGTTTGCCATCTTGTTGTAGCCGCTGGCTGTTGCTGTGGCAGTGGCAGACAGATGGATCATGAATACTGTCTAGACAAAGTGCAGCCTGACGCCCCTCACCTCCTTTCCCTGCATTTTCCCTCATAATTGGGATAAACACAGTGTGCCAATTGTGGCTGGAGTGTAGCAGACACTAAGACCTAAGACCACTGTCTGAGTTTTATCCTGAATAATTCTTAAGAGATAAACAGGGAAGAATAGTGTATTTAATGCTTCCACAACCTTCTCACATGATCTGGTGTGTGCCTGATGGTTTTGGTCGGAGGAGCTGATGGCTCTGATTGGCATTCCCACTTCTGTCAGTCTACCCCAGGGCAGATATGTCTGCTGAACTTTGTCAATGAAGGGGTTATCTATAAACTGCTATATTAGTAGAATGCATGATTATATTTTTTAACATAGCAGAGTTCCACTGGTAGTTTTACCATGGTGGTTATCAATATAATACAGGTGAAACTCCAAGTTTCTTAAAAAAATAAAAAATGAATTCAACCAATTTTAACTCAATACAACACTTGATATACACTATATGTCATGTATTAGTTTCACATTTCAGAATTTCAGAAGTAAATGGAGTTTTGAGGTTCACCTGTATGTGTGCCTTGACTAGATTTACCAAATGTGTGGTTATTTACTCATAATATGTAAGTGTAATCTGAAAAAAACAAAAAAACGTATTTTTGCCTCTGCACTTTTATATACTGCACTTGCACTTACTGAGGAAGATAGCAGCATCTGAAACTGTTAATGTATGATCCATAACACAAAAGTAGAAGTAGAAGAAAATCTTATTTTAAAAATCATTGTATGTGAGTTGGACTTCTTGACTCTCTTGTTCATCGTACACCCATTATTGATTTCCATGCCACGGTACCCAGATTTTCAGATTTAACAAAGCAGAAAAACACTCAGAAGCAATTAATATAATTAACGATGGCACCATTCAGTTTAAGTGTCCCACTAAGGCTTTCCACCGAGCCCTGTCTGAATCATTATCTGAGCCCGACAACCCAGGTATTAAATGAGAACTCATCATTATTGAGGTTATTTATGAGCTGTGCATCTGCCTCATAAACTGTAAACATGGCTGCCGCACTTTCACTTTCAGCATCAAAAGCTTTGTCTGGCATTATTCTCTTAAACCCTTCGTATTATTTGGACGTGTTTGCAAATCTGTTTTGATGGAAAATATTTTATTCTCATTCACACAATTTGAAAGTGACTGTAGTCAGTCACTTTCAAACTAGACTTTCATCTTCAGGATTGTGGTCATGCACTTCTAGTTGTACATTATAAGAAGTGGATTTGGATCTCTGCAAAAACAGCAACAGAAATTAAACGTGTATGGTATTGTACGCTTGTTTGTATTGTGTGTACCACATATCTGAACATTTATACACGATATTAACAATATGCCATAATGACCTATATATGTGTTCTATATATTTTTTGTCTTAACTGTTGATTCTCTGATCGGTGTTGGTGATTTCAATGGTTTTGTTTAGTCCTCTGAGATGACTGCTGTTTTGCTTTAGGGCTATATAAGAATACATTTTATCGTATTGTAATGTATTGTAAAACTGTCTATTGTGCTCGAGCGATTACCCAGGAGCTGCCTCTTCCTTTTGCATTAATAATATTTCTGCAAAGGCTCTCTCCATGAAACTGTATGTTTTGAAGAACATGTTTTGTAAAAGTTCAAAGGGGCTTCGCTGCGGTTTTCCTCTGGATCCGGACACGGCCTCTCTGCTGCCCTCCTGTTAGACCCAGCAGAAGTGCAGAGGGGGACAGCAGAGGCTAGATCAATGGTCAACTCTAGCTTTGCCATTGATCCTGGTACGGAGTGAACTGCACTTCAATAGAGGGGAGTGAGCCTTGAGGCGTGCTGATTGATTGGGTTTGTGAGATTCATAGTGTGAGAAGGCTTGTTATTGACTGGCCCTGTATGGCAGACTGTCTGAGTGTCCAGCACTGCCCGCCTGTTGCTTGGCAGTTACACTTTTTTCTTGAAGCAGGGAAGATGTTGTTGACCCAACCCTTTTTTATCAACGCTCAACAAGTAATAACACATCTTCTGACTGGTACCCTCAACTTGTTTTGGTTTTACCTTTTTTATAATGGCCCTTAAGTCAAACCAAGAAGCATGAATCCAAAAGATTTTTCTAAACCAAACAATTAATTTAGAGGTATGTGTTTGATTCCACCTCCAGACGTGCGTTTCTTTGTTGAGTTTGCATGTTCTCCCTGTGTCAGCTCCGGTTTCCCCAAAAACCTTTACTAAAGTCCTCCGTAACACCTCCTCAACGCCCTCCATTCCCCGGTCTGGATCAGAACTCCTCTGAAATAGAGATTGTGATATCTGTGTGACTTTCCTGGGCAATAAAAAAATAGAATTAGAACCGCTAAATGTTATTGTTGAATAAGTGCATGCATTTCCTCAATAGTGCAAAAGATAAATGCCTCTTTGGACACTAAAATCATCTGTAAAAATGGAACCTTTCAAAACCTTGACACCACACACAATATTCTTTTAGATACCGAGGCCTTGGCACTTTTAGAATATTTCATTCTGTCTTGATAATAGACTGGATTCCGTCGTCTGAAGTTTTTTCACCGTGAAGTGTGGAGCAGCTTCTAGACAGTGTCAAGGATTCACTTTCTGTTGGCAAAAGGTTGTCGAAGCAAATTAAGGAGGCCGAGACAGACGAGACTTCTGCGGGCAAAAACTCCTCTTATTGTAGACGACAAGAATCTGACTCCATCAGCACTGCAGAACTTTATATTTCAAAAGTAGTCCTGACTTTAGAAAAATGTTGGGTCAGGACTGGTGACAAGATTGATACAAACTGTTAAAGAATTCATATTATTCATAGTTCTTTGTATCCATGTTTTGACCAAGTTTCACTCTGATATAAGCATGTGTTAAGCGGATTATCCCATTGGCCATCTCGGCTAATACTTGCCACTGATCTCCAGACTATTTTTCTCAACTTCTGCTCTTGCCTCAACTTAAAAGTAGAACAAAATTGGATTCCTTCTTCAGACCTGCGGCCTTTTCAGTAACTGTCTCTATCCTCTCTGCTTAGCCTAATCTCACGCTTGAACTAGCCCCCGGTCAACTGTCTCGCTCGGCCTCCTATTTCCCACTTCTTTGCCTTCGCCCTCTTGGCCACCTTTTATCTTTGATCCAGATTTGACCGGGGCACTCGCGTCGGGTCAGTTGCTATGTAATTACCAGGCCAATGCGCTGGACTGCCGCTACATGCTACAGCTGTTGTCATTGACTGGACCTGATCTCCTCTGTGACTTGAGGGTCAATTAAGCAGCAAATGAGAAGAGCTACGGGGAAACGCTAATTGAATGGTACCTTTGGGTTTGAAGCATTGATAGAGGAGGCAATAGATGATAAGTGGATGTGTGCTGTGGTTATGGGTGGTCACTTCACAAGCCGCAAGCGATATTAACCGCTGTATGAAATGCCGGAGCTGTCTGTATGAGCAAGGCCATTACCATTAAGCTGTCCTTCATAACACGGCCGCACACAGCTTTTGGCACTTCACCTTTACTAACAGCCCACAGCCGTATGTAATTCAAAGTCTATAGGAATGTATTTCTGTCACCGCATTTATTCCACATGACTTTGCAATGTTTTCATGTAAGGGGCCAGTTATATAAACCGTCTGCTAACCTACATACATAGGCCGAATGACGATAACTGTTAGTCTTTTAGAGATTTGTCAAGATGCATTCCAATGTTTGTTTGTTTGTGTTTTAAATTGTCCACGTCCTTGATGCTTTATTACCTTTGTCTGGCTTCGTAATTGTATCAATCATTCTTCTATTCAATCGGAACATTGTGATGTACGGATATGTATATGTGTGGGTATATAGTTGGAAATCTCTCGGGGCCCCCACTAACAACTCACCGTTTGTTTTGAAGAATGTGTGACATGTTTTAAATGTAAAGGGAAAATATATACATGATTTAGGTTGTGTGAAGACATAGCTTGACTGTCACTGCTCATGTGGTTATGGCTGTGCAGAGACTTTTTATGCCCCTTTGTGTGAATAATAATGTTGTTTTACTGTTGAAATGTGTTTTTTTTTTTCTTAATCTGCTACTGTCGGCCCCTTTTAATTCCTCCTCAGGGATAATGGTTTGCTTGATTGATTCGTTGATTGATATCAGTATTTTTACTGTAATTCCAATCATATCGTCAGTAACAAATGATTCTTTAGTGGACAAACTGAATATTTGTTTGTCCACAATTTTGGAATCACCAGTTAATGTTAGGAGACTATTAGGCCTATAAACAAATG